ATCATAAGAACCATATTATGTGTGCTTTAATGTGACTTTTGCTACGTGTTCTGCATGATGTTTGAATGATTATTTAGTCATAGTGATATGAAAGAGTATGTTATGAAAATGGGAGTATGGTACTTGATTGATGGTCGGGTAGTGTTAAGTGTATATTTTTACACTTAATCATATCTTTTAATTAGAGCTGTTGGTGTCTTTTATTGATAATTGGTGCTTAAAGTGTCGATTTATTGTATTTTAGGTACAAATTAAAGAATTGGATAAATAGAGGATCAAAACTGCAATTTAGAAGAAAATATGGGCGAAAAGTGAAGAAGTAAAAAACCTGAAGAATAAGAGCCCAGACGGCCGTCTCAGAAATACACTTAAATCTCAGATGGTCGTACGAATTTCATCTGTTGAAGAATAAAGTCTCTGGAATTGAGACGGCTGTCTGGAATTATAGCTGAAAATCTAGACGGTCGTCCGAGAAGGCGTAGAGGCACAGTAAAAGAATTTTAATTGCACAAGAAAACAACCTTCTTTTCCAAGTTTTCCACCCTATATAAGGCCAATTCAAGCACACAATTGGGGAGCCATCTTTGGACGCAAATTCAACAGCAAAGAAGATCAATGAAGACTCAGGCATAGTTTTTCTTATTTTATTTATTTATTTTATTTTCTTTATCATAAGAATCACGAGTAGCTAAGTCTTTGGTTTCTAGGATTTTATTCGAACCCTATGTGGGATTTATGAACCCAATTCTATGATTTTATGCAAGTTTTAATTCCGGATTATTTCTTCTACTTTTTTTATTCAGTGCATGAACTTGATCACCTTATGTGCTTTTATGTTATTCTTAATTGCATGAATCGGAAGACCGGGTTAATAATTAGAACTATGGTAAAAGAGCCTTTGTGGTATTAACATAGTGATGCGGTCAACAATAAGCTAACTCGGATCACCTCAAATTGACTCTTCAACCTACAACGAATATTCAAGAGCCGATATGATCTTGTGATGATCTTCTTCGATTTGATGGAATAAGGCGTTTCCTGCGTAAGAAAAATACACGTTAGGGTGCCGGGGCTTGGTTCCGGCGAAAACCCTCCGATGCTTAAGTCAGTCCGGATTCCAAGAGAAGAATATCAGAGGAATACGAGAAGAAAATATTATAATGCCTATATCGAAAAATAATTACCTTTTCTTAATAAACGTGAAGCATTTATATACGGAATTTTATCATGGGCCTGAAATGTAATCTTGGGCTTTTAATTGATAATTGGGCCCAAATATTGTAATTATAATTTTTGGGCTTCATCATATTTTTGGCCCATGTACATCATAAGCTCTCCACTCTTAATCGAATATCAAGAATTCAAACTCGGTTGAGAGTATAGGATTGTTTCGTCGATTCGCTAGTTAATCGATCTTGCAAGTCAAGAGAAAGAAAAAAAAAGAATTGGTGGGACCTTGTGATATCGAAGCCAACATCAGACTATGGCACCGAGAGGTATAGACGTACTGTATTAAATCATTGTATATTTTCTATCTTTTTCTTTTTATTTTTTATTTTTTATTATTATTTATTTATTTGTTGCTAAATAACAATTATAACCACACACTTCAAGTTGACTTCTTGTGCAAGTGTCCCTCCTTTGAGCCGCCTCACAGTGTGAAACACCAACCCTAACCAGATCACTCTTAGTTTTATTTTTGTTATTTTTGAAACGTCTTTCCTCAAACATGGTCGATTTACGTAATATCGGGTCAAATAGAGATGATAGCAACTTTGTTGGAGTTGATGAAAACTCGAGGTGGGTCGTCAACTTGGTGCAAAGCCCGGGCTGTTTGGATCCGAACGGCTTGGAGGCTCCGTCGAAAATTGTCATCTCGAATAACCGCGACGACTTGTGTGTAAGTGCGGGAGATGTCGGTCTCGGACTGTTACCCTTTGACAACCTTGATTATATGAAATTAGAAAAAGACATGTTAGAAAAATTTAATGTCGACACAATTGGTGAGTCAGATATTGAAGAGTTTGGCGTAGACGTCATAGGTGACTTGGATAGCAGCGATTTAGGGAGTCCACCTCGACCATTCAAAATTGATCGTAATCGAAAACATGAATTGATTTCCGAGAATCTTTATCATCAAGGCAGTTTGTTGGATGTGCAAGAAACCGTAGAACATGAAGGTCGACGTCTGCTGAAACTTATAATACATCCTCGATTAGGATATCAACCTCATCAGATGACAGTTAGTGGTGACTCAAATTTGGTAAGTGGAACATTAGCACTTCGGGATTCATCATCTAGTGAAGTTTCTTCATGTTCGGATTCAAAGTTGCCGATCGAGGTTTGCAAGCCTGCTGCACGTAAGAAAAAAACGGAAATTTCTTTAAAAGATATAGATTCGTTCACATGCGCGTCGACGTTGAGAATACAACGCTTTAACTCCATAGTCACTTCCTTAGGCCCGTTTGGGAAACTATGCCAGTTTCCGGAAGCAGGAGATAGAATGCGTGTGCCGCCGGTTGGTTTTTTTACCGTTTATTCAGATTGGTTCAAGTGTGGTTTTAAACCGTCTACTTTGCCTGTGGTGAATGAATTGGTTAAGGTAACGGGACTTAGCATAAGTCAATTTTACCCAAACACGTTTACAATCTTTGACGGTTTTAACGTGGCGATGCGACAAGTGGGACAACCGATTTATGTGGACGCGTTTCACGCGTCATTTATGATAAAAAGAGGTGCTATGAAGGGCTCATTTTATTTAAAGGCAAGATCACACTCCAAATTTCTATTAGGTGGTAATCGATCTCGGGGTCCTTGGGCTAGTGAATTTTTCTTTATGAAAGATGACGGATTGGACGTATCTTCAGTATGGGGGTCGTTGAATGTGCTTGAGGGCAGCACCGGTTCATGAGGTTGGACCTGAAAACAATTGAAAAAGGCAGGATTGTTTAAGTTATCGTTAAATGCTAAGGAAATAGCACTTGGTGGTAGATTATTTACTATTCGCTTTGTTTCAACTGTCTTTCTTGCGTTATTATATTATGCTTACTTTATTCTTCGAGCTGATGAGTGTACTTTGTTTTCTGCAGTTAAGGTGTCGGCTGAGGAGATTCGTCGATTGAAGTCTTCTCGTGCTGACGAGGCTCGAACTAATGATCTGCCTAATTCCTCGAGTGTACCATCAGGTGATGCTGCGGGGAAAAGAAAAAGGTCATCTTCGCCTGATCGGGCCGATGCAACTCGTGAAGTTGGGCGAGGGGCACCTCGCATTCCTTTCACTAAAAAATCTCACGAACTTCCACGTAATGCATCAAAGCAGAAAAAGGATGATGGAAGCTCGTCTTCTAGTATTTTGGTTGGTAAAGGTCTTCTTTTTGTTAGTGCCGTTGTTGACTCTGATATGAGTGGTTCCATGTGGGATGTAGAGAATCCTCGCGCATGATGTAACCTTATTCGAGGCTCCATTTCAGACTTGGACATGAAACGACTAGGTGCCTTTTCTGATCAAGATGCAGCTGATTTTATGGGGAGCGACATTGCTTGGGTAAATTGTTTTATAATTTTTAGCGGTATAGTTATAATATGACGTGTTCTTGCTGAATGTATTTGACTTTTGAATTCATAGGTTGTCAGTAGTTGGACAGGTCTTCGCACGCGTCTTGAAGACTACAAGAGGGCGATTGATGTTATAGAAGATTCAGAAGAAAAGGCCGTAAAAGCAAGGTCGAGAGTGATACTCATGCATAGATGGTTGCTGCTGAGATAAAGATCGTCAAGGAAGCAGAAGACAAGACAACGACGACTTTAAAGAGTATGATGGAGAAGTATTTTGGAGAGAGGCAAATCGGCATCTTTTTCTTGGCATCTGATAAAGGCAAGAAGTTCCTGGAAGAAATGAGAAAACAGGAGCTGGAAAGGTACCATAAGGAGGAGTTTGCACGAGATGCCACTCTAGCTTCTGTTGACTTGTATGATGATGTGGTTCTTATGTGCCAACACCAGTTGAGGTAGACCGGTCAAGTGTCCGAAGATGTCATTAGGCAAGACATTTCAGAGCCGATTGTAGTACCAAGTACTAAGATTATCCCTTTTGAGGAGACGACTGCGGTAGAGCCACTAGTTGATGCTACAATGGTTCTCAAGGATAGCTCGCCTCCTGAGGACGCGGATGTTGGAAAAAAGAAGACTGTAGCGTAGCTTTTATTTTTCCTTTATTTTAGATTGCTTTTTATCATTAGGAAATACATTCGTATTCCATAGAGTAGTTGCATTTTGAATTTACTTCTAGTCGAACATCTTGATTTCTTTGAATTGTCATTTTCTTTGTTGATTGCTGATATTTATTTCTCTTTACGAAAGTTTTGAGGACTCCAAGTCGTATCACGATTTGGTATTCTTTAACTCTCTGAAATTGCTTGTTTATACTCTAATCAATGAAAACTCTTGAACCCATTTTCGAGTGAAGTGTCACTCACAGTAGGGTGAGTTTTTGAATTCCTTGTTTATGTTCTTGAACCACCTAGGGTAACCTTTTAGGTGGCGAACAAATCATGATTTTGATGTGTTGTAAGGTGATGAAGATATGTCGCCTTAAGTGTCGAGACAACTCAAACGATACAGCTCACACAAAATCTTTGGCCGAAAAAAATGTCTGTTGCATTAAGACATGGGGAGAGCGTAGGGTCATTAAAAACCTTGTTGGCCAAAACAAGGAAAAGAGTACCCCTTCTTACATCAAGCAAAAGAAAAATGTATAATGAAGAAACAAAAAACGTCTTCAACATAAAAACTGTACATAGTAAAAACCTCCATATCTACTCAAAAAAACGCTTCTAATTGATAATGTTCCAAGTGCGAGGAATCGTCTGTCCGTCAAGATGTTGTAGATGATATGCACTAAGAGTGAGTATTTCCACTATTTTGTAGGGCCCTTCCCGTTTTGCATCTAACTTGCCAATAGGCCGTGACAGGTCAGCTTTGCGCACTACTAAGTCACCAACCTAAAAAGTACGTGATCGTACCTTGGCGTTGTATGCACGAGCCATGCGAATCTTATACTTCTGAATTCGAGCTGTTGCACCCTCCATTAATTCACCAAGAAGGTCTAAATTGATTCGCATAGCCACCTCGTTATTCTGCACTTCATAGTATCTTGCTCCCCAAGAAGGCTCTCCAATCTCGACTGGGGGGAATGCCTCAGTTCCATACGCTAAAGAAAAAGGTGATTCACCAGTTGCAGATCTGGGAGTGGTACGGTATGCCCAAAGCACATTATGAAGTTCTTCTACGCACCTCCCTTTTGCATTTCCAAGTCGAGTCTTCAAATGTTGCAGTATAGTACGATTGGTCACCTCAGTTTGTTCATTAGCATGTGGACTGTATACTAAGGTAAAAAAATGCTTGATGTGCAAGCCTTCACACCAGTTTTCCAACTTTGAACCGGCGAATTGCGTTCCATTATCTGATATTAATGCACGTGGTACACCGAATCTGCAAACAATATTTTCCCATAAAAAACAAATAACTTCTTTTTTAGAAATTTTGGCGAGTGGTTCAGCATCTACCCACTTTGTAAAATAGTCAACTGCAACGATGAGAAACTTCTTTTGACGTGTAGCCACTGGAAATGGGCCTATCAAATCAATACTCCATTGTGAAAAAGGTAAGGGACACTCCATTGGTTGAAGCAAAGCGGCCGGTTGATGGGCTATATTGGTGTATAACTGACATGCAGTGCACTTTTTAACCAACTCCTTTGCGTCTTGGAGCATGGTAGGCCAAAAGTACCCTTGACGAAGTGCATTTCCTGCCAACGTTTTCCCCCCCGAGATGATTGCCGCAAATATCTTCATGAATTTCTTGAAGTACGTAGTCCGCTTTTTGTTGCGTCAAACACTTAACAAATGGTTAAGTGAAACCTCTTTTATATAATTCATCATCCACCATGGTGAAATGAGCGGCTCGGGTACATATTTTACGTGCTTGAGATTGGTCGGATGGGAGTTCTCCTAATGTTAGGTATTGAACCAATTCATCTTCTCATGTCGGTTCAGCAGCCTGATTGCACATCACTACATCTAAAGTGTCAATTCCCGACCTGGCAAAAAAAAAAAAAGTAATCCACTAGCTATTAATATTAGACATTGGACTGGCCAGTTTAGATAAACTGTCAGCTCCTTCATTGGTGGTTCGCGGAATTTGCTTGACTTCAAAATCCTCAAGCCGCGTTAATAACTTTTTGACTATAGCAAGGTATTTCGCCTTCTTTTTTCTTTTGCATCATAATCTCCCGAGACTTGTTTCACTACAAGTTGCGAATCACTATGTATAACAAGCTTCCGAGCTCCAGCAGCTAGGGATAAACGGATCCATGTTATAAAAGCTTCGTATTCCGCCTCGTTATTTGAAGTCTGGAAATCGAGCTTGATTGCATAATCAATTTTATCTCCTTGTGGACTCTCCAACACTATGCCAATTCCACTTCCACCGATGGTAGAAGAGCCATCCACATAAGCTAGCCAAGTTGGAGTCGAAATGCTTTCTTCAAATCCTGCCATCTCAACGAGGAAATCTGCCAACACTTGAGCTTTTATCGCTGGACGAGGGTTATACTCCAATCCACATTGGATTAATTCGACAGCCCACTTGACCATTCTTCCCGACGCTTCGGGACTTGAAAATATATGCTTCAAAGGTAGGTTGGATAAAACTACTACATGATGAGATTGGAAGTACATGCGTAACTTTCGAGCAGCCGTTACTAAAGCAAAAACCAGCTTCTCCATATTGCTATAGCGTTGCTTATAAGGGTGTCGAACTCAAATATTTCTTAAAATCTTCAAATGCTTGCTGACATTCATCGGACCAACGAAAGTGCTTCTCTTGACGGAGAATTTTGAAAAACGGTAGTCATTTTTCGGCTGATCGAGATAAAAACCAATTAAGAGCAACCATCCGTCCTGTCAGTTCCTGCACTTTTTTAAAGTCCGAGGAGGCGACATTTTCATGATAGCTTTTTTTTTTTCTGGATTGGCCTCTATTCCTCGTTGCGAAATTAAATAAACCAAAAACTTTCCTCCTTTGATTCCGAATGTACACTTCTCAGGGTTGAGCTTCATTCGATACGTTCTGAAAATAGTAAAACACTCATCTAGATCCTTAGTATGCTTTGAGGAGATAACTCTCTTAACTAACATGTCATCTATATAGGCTTCCATGTTGCGTCCCAGCATGCCACCAAACATTGAGTGTACAAGACGTTGGTACGTGGCTCCAGCATTCTTCAGTCCGAAGGGCATTGCCTCATAGCAAAAGATTCCTTGGTCGGTTACAAAACTTGTTTTTTCGTGGTCTTTCGAGGCCAACCTTATTTGGTTATATCCTTGATAAGCATCAAGGAAATTCAGCAACTCGCAACCTGATGTTAAATCTACCAATAAATCAATTCTTGGTAAAGGATATGAATCTTTTGGACAAGTTTTATTCAAATCTGTAAAATCCACGCATAGCCTCCACTTGCCTCCTTTTTTCTCTACCAAGACAACATTAGCGAGCCACTCTGGATATCGGAAAGGTCGGATATATTTGGAATCCTGCAATTTGTTAACTTCATCCTTGATATGTTGACTCCTAATTGGCCCAAAAGCTCTTTTCTTTTGCTTGATTGGTCTTGCATTAGGATCTACATCTAAATGATACATAGCAAATTCGTCAGGTATTCCCGGTACATCTTCTCCGCTCCAGGCAAAAACATCGGAATTGCTTCGTAAGAAAGCAATAATGGCTTCTTCCAACATCCTCAATGATTCCTTGGGAGTCGGGAATTTCAACTTCATATGATCACGTTTATGGTTCCAGCTGTGGGTAAATCATCCTCACGATGTCCATGTTGACTCTCTCCTTCCTGGCGACCTCTTTGTTGCTCGCGATTTCGACTATCTCGTCCTCTTTCTTCCTGTTGACGATCGCGCTGCTTAGCTACAAATTCTCTTAAATAACCTCGTTGTATTAATCTTTCAATTTCTTGTTTTAAATTGAAACAATCCTCCGTATCGTGCCCTTTGTCGCCATCAAAACGACAAAATTTATTCAATTTCTCCCTTTTCGCACTCTCCTTCATGAGCCTTGGAGGTTGGACCAAACCTTTTTGTTGTACTATAACAAGCACCTCACTGAGCCGTGCGTTAAGAGGTGTGAATTGTTGAGTTCTATGATCAGTAACACGTCGTTCCTCTTTCTTAGGCATCTCATGTCACCCTTCTTCACTTTTACGCTTCTTCTGAGTCAAGCTCGTCATCTCTTCAATGCGAATATATTTATCCGCCCTGTCTAGTAACTCGTCAAGATTGTGTGGCGGTCTTCCTGCAATAGATTCTCTGAACTGCCGGTGCAGTAAATTTTGTTGAATTATACCCGCCAAAACAACATGGTCAATAGCCGGGATTTCCTGTACAGCTTGAGAGAAACATTGCACGTATTCTCTTAACGATTCATGCTCTTGTTGAATAATAGTGAATAAATAAGCTGGCGTTCTTGGATATTTTCTGTTGATGGAGAATTGGTCAATGAACTTATGAGTTAGTTGCTCCATACTTTCAACAGTACCTGCAGGAAGTTGATTGAACCACTTCAACGAATTTCCCGATAGGGTTGTTCGGAAAATTTTGCAATATGCAGCATCGCTTAGACTGTATAGGTCTTCTTTAGCTATGAACTTCTCCAAGTGGTCGTGCGGATCGCCAGTTCCCTCATAGTCTGGGAGTTGTGGAATCATCACACCTGCAGGTAGCGCCTCAGCCAAAATAGCTGTAGAGAAAAGACTTTTCCGAGCTGGCAAAATTCCAATGAGGCTTACTTCAGTGAGAGAGGCAGCAACATAAGGCAATGAGGTTGCAATTGGAATACTTGAGTTTTGTTGTCTAGTTGGTCGGTGACTATTTGGTGGCTTGGGCGTTTTTCGCTTAGGAACAATTTCCTCTTCCTCTTCCGGCTTAGAAGCTCGACTTCCAGCCTCTTCATGCGAATTTCTCGGGTGCCTAGCGTGTCTTCTGGATACGGATAGTGCTGCTTTCTTAGGTGACTCAGTTCCATTATGTGACTGTGAGGCGTGACTCGGAGATGTATGTTCTACGCCATTATGAGCGGTCATAAATTTCGCTACAGCTTCCTTAGCCGCCTTCTTTGTAATTTCTTCTATGATTATGCGAAGCAACTCCGGTGTAACCGTGAACAGTACAACATCAGCGGGAGGGATCGGAGGTGGTGGCCGTTGAGCTCCTACAACTCGTGGTTGATCATGGGTGGATTGTTCTTCCCACCGCTAGCACCGAGGTTGTTCTTCGATCGAGTTTGCATTTCTTAATACAGTAACACCGCGGTTTCCCACAGAAGGCGCCAAAAATGATGCGGTCAACAACAAGCTAACTCGAATCACCTCAAATTGACTCTTGTACCTACAACGAATATTCAAGAGCCAATATGATCTTGTGATGATCTTCTTCGATTTGATGGAATAAGGCGTTTCCTGCGTAAGGAAAATACACGTTAGGGTGCCGGGGCTTGGTTCCGGTGAAAACCCTCTGATGCTTAAGTCAGTCCGGATTCCAAGAGAAGAATATCAGAGGAATACGAGAAGAAAATATTCTAATGTATAGATCGAAAAATAATTACCTTTTCTTAATAAACGTGAAGCATTTATATACGGAATTTTATTATGGTCCTGGAATGTGATCTTGGGCTTTTAGTTGATAATTGGGCCAAAATATTGTAATTATAATTTTTGAACTTCATCATATTTTGGCCCATGTACATCACATAGGAAGATATTTAATCTCTTAGGTAGCTATTATTGAGTATTGCGTTCAATGCTTTGTTCTTGACTAAATTGCGTAGGAATACAACAATTTAGTCTTGATTAAAGAATCGTAATACACGCGGAAGCGGGTTAAGATTAATAGCATCTCTGGTTAATAATCCGAGTTAAAAATAAAATCCTACGCTTGTTTACTCTCATTAAATCGTCGTTTTTAATTGCTTTCGTGCTCTTGTCTTTTTAATTTATTTTAATTGCTTTAGTTTAATTTAGTTTATTAATCCTCTTTCGACTGTGTAGGGTGGGCTTGATAACAATTGGTAGGATTTAGCTTCTATAATTAGATAATTAAATATGCTATGTGGGATCGATACTTGGACATAAAAATCCACTTTATTACTTGTACGATACGTGCACTTGCGTGTAGGTATTACCACCAACAAGTTTTTGGTGGCGTTGCCGGGGAATATTTTAATTATTTATTTTATTCTGGCTCTAGATTTGAACAATTTTCACGATTCACCCAAATTAATTTTTTTTTTTAGTTTAATTTTTCGTTTTAGTTTTTTTTAATATTTTCTCTCTTTGGTTACATGGCAGGTTATAATTTTCGTGCACCTCAAACGGGAAATGAATGGCTTTTGTTCAGGCAAATACCTCCAAAACACCTATGATATGTGGTGGAGATCACTACACTAACCAATGCTGGTATGCACCGAAGGCGAACAATTTCGTACATAATACCAACAAAAATTATTGGAACACATACACCAACACGCCACGAGAACCCACTATTCATGAGTGTTATTTGAACTCCATCCTTGAAGATTTTATGAAATCCACTCAAGAATCTATCCGAAGAATAGAGATACAGTTGGCAGCGATCGAGTTGCAGAGATCTCTTGAAAATATTGCAAACGATATCGAGAATGGTTGCAACAAAGAAAATCTGTCTGAAACTTGTTGTCCATTAGACCTAGAAAATAGTGTCTATGAGAAGGAAAAAGAACTTATGAAGACGCTTAAGGATGATGAATATGAGAATGCAATCGAGCTAAACTCCAAAGATGTCTCGGAACAAGAGAAGAAGGAGATGGATGTGGTTAGTGCAAATATTCAAATTGAGGATCTTATCATTGTTCCTCACGTGGCTTTGAAGGCATCAATAGAGGTTGATGAGAAGACGAATGTGTTTGAAGTGGAGGTTTTACGAAGACTTGAGGTTTTTGTGTACCGATTTGAGGGAGCGGGTAATGAAGATCCCATATTGGCTTTGTACCGATTGATTACAACCAAAAAACACTACAAGCTAAAGTGGAACCTGACATATTGCAATCCTATCCCTATATCGGTTGCAATTGAAGTGAAAGAGCTCATGGATGGATGCGCAATCTACAAGGCTATGGGTTGGACATAACAATTTTAAAGAACAAAGTTTGGCTGAAGACTCTAAACTTAGCGCTTCTCGGGAGGCAATCCGAACTTTATTGTTTTTCGTATTTTTCTTTAATTTTATGTTTTGTTTTTATTTTCATAGCATGCATTCCAATTAATCTATTTGAATTTTATTTTTCAGGGTCGAAAACGTGGTCAGAGGGTCCAGACGACTGTACGAAACTGCAAGCAAAATCTCATACGGACGTCTGGGAAACAGAAGACCAAACTCAGCAGAACCATGTTTGAGACGGTCTTCCGAGTTTTAGTACAAAATCTCATACGGCCGTTTGAAATCCACAAACTGAAAGATTGAGTCTCTACTTTTGAGACGGTCGTTCGAAAATAAGTGTATATTTCGAGAGGGCCGTCCGAAACTAATTAGGGCGTATTAAAAAGGGAAAATCAGAATTCTTTCCCACATAAATTGTCACACCCCAATGACGACGATTGCGACTAAATTAGGTGTTTTCTATCCTTAAACTTTACTCTAAACTTAGCTCTTCTCGGGAGGCAACCCGAGCTTTATTGTTTTTCGTATTTTTCTTTAATTTTATGTTTTATTTTTATCTTTATGGGTACGCATCCTAATTATTTTAATTGAATTTTAATTTTGAGGGTAAAAATTGAAATCAAAGGCTCCAAACGACCGTCCGAAATTCCAAGCAAAAGCTTGGACGGCCGTCTAGGAAACATAAGGGCCGGACTTAGCAGCACTACATTTAAGACGGCCGTCCGAATTTTAGTTCAAAATCTCGGACGGTCGTCGAAAATCCAGAGTCCGAAAATCAATCTACGACTTTTGAGACTACCGTCCGAAATATAGCTTACTTTTCCAGATAGCCGTCTGAAAGCGCTGAACTGAAAACCCACATACAACTTTTGAGACGGCCGTCCGAAAACTAGTTCAATTTTCGAGACAGTCGTCTGATACAAAATTTGGGCGTTTTAAAAGGTGAAGAAAATACGATTTTTTTTTTTTATTTCCCAAACCCTTCTCCTACTTCTCTCTCAATCACCCACGCTCCAAAAAAAAAAATCGAATTTCCCTTCCAAATTCACAAATTTCACACACAAAACTCAATCCCAAATTCTCTAAATCTTTTATTATGTTGGTATTGACAGGGGGCTAGAGAATCGATCCAAATTCTCTACAATCTCACTCTTCAGGGCACGCCCACAAGATGTTCGATAAATTGTTCCAACCAAGTTTGGGGGTTCGATTCTCGTCCAATACTCACCAGCTCTCTTGAAATCTTTCCAATCATGTCTTCCAACAAGAGAGGCCGCACATGCGAAGCATCTTCTTCGAAAGAAAGGATCCACCAAGGAAACGTTGGTTCCCCAACCCGACAAAGAAGCTTTTAGTGTTGAGGGAGCCGCCGCCTTATTCGACAAACAAATCAAGAAGATTGTCATCACGGAATGATCCTTGACGATCACCCTACCACACTTTTCCAACCTTAATCAAGAATCCAACTACCTCTTTTAGTCGAATCAACCACGAACGATGTGCTCTTGCATATTACATCATCACGGGGAAGCCGGTCAATGTCGGTTCCATTATTTACGATCAACTATGGCGGACAATGCATGACAACTCAAAGGGAATATTCTTCCCTAGCCTCGTTACGAGGTTGTGTAAAAAATAGTAATTCCCCGAGTAACCGAACGACATAGAAGTCAACATCCGGAAGCCAATTGCCGATTTTTGCGGCCTTGCAATTCAACGAAGCAATCCATGACGAGCCACAAGACTTGGCCGAAGTTGAAGACGCTCCTCAACCTCAAGCAACAAACGACCACGAAGCCTCAAGCTTAGGTGCCGATCGACGATTCCGGAAAAAAGATGGAGTGAGAGACGATACTCACGAGGAACCGGTTTGCTACCGTCGAGCATAAAATCAACACGGTGGAGGCACTCCAACGATGGTCGGGAAAGATGCTACAAGCCATCGTACGACACTTGGGATGTGGGACGCCCACTTGTGTAGAGTTGGGGCCATTACCGGTACCAATTCTTGAGCCTGTACCCGAGCTTTCCGATGATGATGAGCATGAGAGAGATAGGGAGGAGCACCATGATCACATCGACTCCGACTAGTCATGTGTTTTATATCCTTGATCTTTGTTCTAATTTTGTTGAGGACAACAAAAATTTTAAGTTTGGGAGTGAACAAAACAGGTTTTTGTGCTTATTTGCTTTAGTTTGCATGCCTTAGGTTTTTGTTTAAGATATTTTTGTTTAAGATATTTTTGTTTATTGCTTTTATTATTTTAAAAAAATATGCACTAGTCGAATGCATCGGTGAGTTATGATGATGAGAGATGATCAATGTTTGATGATGAAATTGCTTATTTTGTTGGGATAAGGGTTAGATGTTTGTTTAGCTTTCGATTCAACGGAACTTAGAAGCGAATTATTGCTAGGAATCACACTTAATGCATTGCTTTCATTGAACGTTCGTAGTTTAAATTTGGAATTAAGTTATGTTAGATCATGCTATGTTCGTTTTTAGAACTCACCTTAGGAAATTTATTATACGAAGTATTGAGTAGTGAGTTATTTGGAATATGTTTTGAGCCTTCTTGAAACGTTTGAGCCTTTCAAGCCGACCTTTTTATCGAAATTATCCTTAGAACCTTGGTTTGAGCTTTGGAGAAACGATGTTCTTTCATTTAGCCATTACTTGATAAGGTAGAATAGATGGAGATTTTTGAAAAATTAACCCTAGGTGTTTGGTAAAAAAAAAAAAAAAAGAAAGTAAAAAAAAAAGGGGAAAAAAAGAAAAGAAGAAGAAGAGACTAGAAGAAAAAAAAGGACTAGTTGTTGAATTGTTTTTGAAAGCTCGATCCATTGTCTTAAGATCAAAAGTAATCGACTTTTGAACTCTTGAGAATCG